AAAGGAGGAGGTATTAATATTTTCAGTGCGTTTAAAGTTGGATAAATAACCAAGCCCAGATAAGCAGCTGTGAGAGGCAAAGGAAGAGTTTGCAGGGGCATTGACATTAACTTTCAAATTCTCTCTGGACACAGGAGGGGTGCCAGATGACTGGAGGACAGTGAGTCTTACATCAGTGGTAGGGAAACTATTAGAAAAATTTTTGAGGAACAGAATTTATCTCCATCTGGAAAGAAGATGTTTAATTTAGGACAGTCAGCATGGCTTAGAAGGGGGAGATTATGTCTAAAAAAATTGTGGATTTATTTTTAGATGACGACTAGGTGTATGGATGAGAGCAATGTATTTGGTGTAATCTACACAAATGTCAGTGAGGCTTCTGTAAAGGTGTTGTTTGGGAGACTGGTCAAAAAGTCGAGCGTCCATGGCATTCTGTTTCCAGAGGTGTGCTTGGTAACTTGCTGTTTGTACTGTAGGTTAATAACTTAGATGCAAACATAGGAGGTTTATCAGTAAACTTGCAGATGACCCAAAAGTTGGTTGTATAGTAAACAGCAAGGAATAAACCCTTAGATTATAAGATACAGACAGACTAGTCAGATGGTCATAACAGTGGCAGCTATCCAGAGAACTCTCGATATCAAGGAACGCACAGGATTGGATAAAGAAAAAAGGGGAAGCTTATGGTACATATCATGGGCCCAAAACACAATAGAAACCCGAGAGGAGTAGAGAAAATGCAGGGGTTATTTAAAAAAAAGACACAGCAAAAAAGGGCATGAAAAATCACTAGTGGTTAATTCACGAAAAGTGTGAGTAATGCATTTTTTGCAGCACTAACAAAGGCAAGGCAGCACATGATGAATGCTAAGACTCTGGGCTGTACTGAGGATCAGTGGGACCTTGGTATGCATGTACATAAATCCCTGAAGAGACATAAATAGGGTGCTTAAGAAGGCCTAAGGAATACTTGTCTTTATTAGTTGTGGTATAGAATGCACGATCTGGGAAGTTATGACTGAACTATATGAGACACTGGTTAAGCCACAGCTGGTGTAGCCTCTTCCAACGATGATCCCCACCTTTCCCAATACAAGTGCCAATACACAAAAACTGAACCACACTTATTCTATAAGTCTAAGAGTCACATATTCATCTCAATAATTTTATGTACCCAATGAAAATTTGGATGTCGTTGACATAATAATCCAGAGATTATACCTTTTGAGGCTCTGCTTTTTAATTTATTGCTTCATTCCTTATTCTCTATGCAGAACTTATTTTCTACTCTGTTTATGTCATTGGTATCTACACAGCAATGACCACTGGATCTCTTGTCCCACTACAAGTTCCTTTCTAGTGGAGCAGATGTTTTGAACCCTGACACCAGGCAGGCAACACATCCTTCTGAACTCTCTCTCTTTCTTGAAGAGAACTTTGTCCATGCCCATCACTACGCTATCCCTTACCACCACTGCATTTTTTTTTTACTATCACGCCCTCAGCTTGTAAGGTGTGCTGAACCAAGATTCCATTTTCATCTGCTCCTTCTCCTACAGTGCTTGCTCTCGTCTACACAAGTGAGGCACCTCAAATTTGTCAGATGGTTGAAAGGGCTGATAATTCGGACTACAGTATCTTCTGATCCCTTACCTGCCTTCCTCATGGTCACACCCTAATGTCCCTCAATTTCCAGATGCAGCCAGCTTGCCACTCTAAGGTGTGCGGCTGCCTTCTGGAACAAAGTGTCCTTGAATCTCTGCAAGTCCCAGTTGCATTGCAATGTCTTTAATTTAGCCTCCAATTCAATAGTTGTAAGTTGAAGTTCCTGTAGGTTTAGGCATCTTCTACAGACATGTTTCCCTGGACTACTTCCAAGTTCAGAAATTCCTACAGTCTACAACTGTGATACAATGTCCATCTCTTTGTGTTTTGTATATTAATTAGCTAAATGTAATTCATTAATTTAATCAGTCAAGCAAAACTTTTTTTAAAATCAAGACCTTTCTGTATCTATTAAATGTTAACACCACTTAACAACTGGAAGTTATACTAAGCACATACCGCCCAACTAGCTGATTTGTCCTTTAATGCCATTCTCATTATTCAATGCTTTTCAACTGTTTGCCCTGGATCTCAGCAGATGAAGTGGCATACTGCCATACTTCTTTTAATCTTCCCAAATCGTATATATTCTTCACCCAAATCACCAAACTCCCAAATCTTGCACTCTTTGCCAGCTGTACTCAATGATGACTGCACTCCAAAGGCCATATACTTATACTGATTGTTACGTAGATGTGGCAACTCGGCTCTGCTATTGCTCAAGAACTAGTTTTAGCCATCTACACTACACTTATACACTACAGCTGTTCTAACAGAGAATTTCCTTGCTTTAAGCTTTGGAGCAGCTTTAGAATTTAAATTTGACTTAAACAGCAAATCTTAGTTAAATGCTAAATGTTAGAAGCAACTACCCTGGATTTTAAAGAGAGATTTAAAACTCCCATTTTTCAAAGTCCCAAGCCTTCCATTCTGCACCAGCTGAACTTATCATTTAATAAATTTTGTCTAATAGCAGGACCACAACTAGTGCTGGACACTGTGGTTTTAGAAGCACAGGCTAGCGAGCATGGTTGAAATGCTGTCAACTGCAGACAGGCAAAGGAATGTGCTGTTTGATTCAGTCCTCAAGTCTTAATGCCTATTCACCAGATAGCAAACGGTGCTGCAACTCATCTATGTGGTAGGTAGAATATCTTTTTGGCTTGATGGCAGCATTGGGTTAATGAAGAATGCCACTCACGTACTTATTATGAAGTAGCAGCATGTGACAGGTAGCTTCACTTGTTGCTCACTTTTGAGATACTTTATCTTTCCATGAGTACAGCGGGTGCCTTTCAGGGCCAAAAGTGGCAGCCATAGGCTCTTTCATGAGTTTGCGGGATATACAACAAGTGGTGATCTGGTCAGGGTGGCCAATATCATAAAGGATAAGTTTTGATACATCCTACCTGTTCATCAAACTTGCACTATGTTCAGATAGCTACAGCTCATGGAATCATAGAATCTCTTCGGCCCCTAGAGTCCACACCAACCTCCCGAACAGCATCCCATCCAGACCCAGACCCACCCTATCCCATTATTTTTCTATTTAGAAAGTTTCCAATAAGGTTGATTTTGTAGCATGTTAATGTGTAGGAATCTCAATATGTATACTGACCAGTGAATACAGATTTACCGCATAGCCATAAGGTATAGGTGCAGAAATGAACCATTCAGCTCATCGAGTCTGCTCCACCAGTCAGATCATTATGATTTGATAATTCTCAACTCTATTTTACTATCTTTTCCTCACTGCATTTGATTGTCTTACTGATTAAAAATCTATTTATCACGGTCTTGAATATACTTAATGACCCAGCCACAACAGCCCTCTGTGCTAAAGAATTCCACAGATTCACTACTCTCTGAGAATACAGATTTCTCCTCACCTCTATCTTGAATATGCACCTCCTTATTCTGAGACTCTCCCATGAGAAACAATCTTTCCATATCTATACTGTCAAGTCCTCACAGAATCTTGCATGTTTCAACAAGGTCACCTCTTAATCTTCTATATTCCAATGAGTGCAGTTCCTCCATAACCTGCCACACATGAGTAATGTGGTAATATGAATTTCAGTGCCTGTGTGATGCCAGGTACATAAGCCATATGTCTCAACCACTTGCAGACCATATTAAATAACATGACCTTTTAACTATCCAATAAGGAAGTGTGCCAACTGTGTTCAAGGAACCTGTGCTTACAAAGCTCTGAACTTAGTGTGTAGCACAAACATGATTCTACTATTGGATAATATACACCAAATAAGCCAGACTGTACCAAGAATTAAATATCACACGTGTAGCGCATTTCAATTGTATCTGGAGAAACTACCCATATTCACACACAGGACCCTAATTTGTATAGGCTACACATCCCTGAACGTGTAGGCAGAAGGAATTTTTATATACATTGCAACTTCCTCATGGAGAATGATCATGGAAACTGTTACAAGCTGGCAGTCTTGTTTCAACTGAGTTTTTATTGACCTGGATGTAAATTGGATGCCTGTACAGAGAGCCACATGGTAGAGGTCCTGTGACTACAACAAGCCAGGAGGCATATTGGTACAGTATTGCATTAATTTCCCAAGCAGAGATTTCCTATCGTTTTTGTGGTGCACATGGGATGCCCTGACCACAGTCCGCCTGCCTGGGCTATAATCAGCGAGCTAAGACTGAAAGTTAACAGATCCTGCTGCATCTCCTTGTAAACATAGTTCAAACAATGAGGACCTTCTTCTCATGCTGAGTAGACTGGCATTCCCTTTCAAAGTTTGATTTCTTGCATCTCAGTCCTGATGACTGCAAGAAGAAAAGCGTTGACCTCGTGTCTCTCTTTTGCAATGATTCAATTCTGTACAAGAAAGCAACTATTTATGTATGTTGCTGTCGATACTAAGCAGATCCCCTTCATGATTGTAAACTAAGCACATGAAATGATAGATATCCTAATGGAAGTAAAGGCACAATGATATTGATATCAGTTTGGCATTTAATTTCTTACGTTTGCAGCATATTTATAAATTGTTAGGTTTTCTCAATTCATTCATACGCCAACTTCTCAAATGGATTCTTGAGCCTCCTGAGAATGAAAATTAACTCGTCCTGTTGATTATGAATCTTTGCTCACAATAAATCTCCATTTTAAGGATCCTTATTACTTCCAATGCACTGACTTATAAAACGAGGCTGGGTAAAAATAAATTTGATATAATAAAACATTTACCAAAATACATTGACACTCGAAGGATATGAAATAACCCTTAATGTATAATGCATTTACTGCTATGCTAATAAATCTGCACAAGGCACTCTACATAAAATGTAATCATCATTACAATAGCCTAATGGTGAATGTTTGCTGCTGTTCTTACACGTGAAGTGACACAAACCTTTGAAATTTGGCCGTATTCTTGGATCATATGAAACAAGTAATCTGTTGAGGATGTTGCTGGTGGAATTCGCAGGTACTCGTGCAAGGTCTTCAGCAGACTGCTCACTGTAACAGACAAAAACTTTGTGAATGTTCAATTTGCTTGGAAGATCATAAGAAATGCAAACAAGAGTAGGCTGTTCATACCCTTGAGCCTGCTCTGCCATTCAATAGGATCATGGCTGATCTAACATTTACTTTCCTGCATTTTTCCCATAATCCTTGATTCCCTTACTGTCAAGAATCTATCTCAGTCATAAAAATACACAAGGACTCTACCCTCGCAGCTCTTGGTAGCAAAGGAGCTCCAAAGACTCAGAACTCACTGAAGAAATTCCTCATTTCAGTCTTAGATTGGAACCCCTTTATTCTGAAACCATGCCCTCTGGTCCTAGATTCTATGCGGGGAAACACCCTCTCAGCGTTTACGCCGTCAAGCCCCTTAAGAATCTTAAGTTCCAGTGAGATCACCTCTCTTTCTTATGAACTGCAGTGAGTACAGTCCCAACCTGTTTAGCCTTTGCTCATAGGAAATTTCTCCCTACCAGGGATCATGCTAGTAAACCTTCTCTGAACTGCCTCCAATGAACTATCTTTCCTTAACCAAGGGGACCAAAACTGCTGATAGTACTCCAGATGTGGTCTCACCAGTACCTTGTATAGTTGCAGTAAGATTTCCCATCTCTTACACTCCGACCCGCTTGAAATTAGGACCAACATTCCATTAGCCTTCCTGATTACCTGCTGCACCTTTTTTCTATCTGCGTATTTTGCGCACAAGTACCCCAAGTCCCTTTGTGTTGCAGTTTTCTGAAGTTTTTCTCCACTTAAGTAACACTCTGATCATTTGTTCTCCCTTCCAAAATAACCAACATCATATTTTTGGTCACTTACTTAACTTATCAATATCTCTCTTTAAACTGTCTGTACCCCTCTCACAACCTATCTTTCCAACTATTTTTGTGTCGGATGCCAATTTGCCAATCATACATTTACTTCTTTCCTCCAAGTCATTAACATATATTGGAAATATTTGCAGTCCCAGCACTAATCCGTGGAACCTCAACCTGGTCACTGGTTGTGAACTTAAAAAAGAATCCCTTATCCCCACTTAATATTTCAATTTCTATTCATGCCAATATACTATCTCCAACACGGTGGGTTCTAATCTTATGATCTAACCATTTGTAAGCCACCTTATGGAATACCTTCTGGAAGTTCAAGTACAACACATCTGCTGGTTCTCCTCTATTGACTCTGATTGAGACTTCCTCAAAAAACTCTAATAAATTACTCAGACACAATTTCCCTTTCATGAAGTCATGCCGACTCTGCTTGATTGGATTAATATTTTTCAAATCTTTTGCCATTACTTCCTTAATAATTGATTCCAAAACTTTAGTTCCCTACTTTCTGCCTCCCTCCCACTTTGAATATGGGTGTCACAACAGCAGTTTTCCAGTCGTCCCATACTTCTGCAGAATATTAAGATTTTTGGAAGACTATAACCAATGCATCCACGATCTCTGTAGCTGCCTCTTTGAGGATCCCAGCTGCAACAGTAAGGCTAGGGGACTTATGTGCCTTTAGCCTCATTATTTTGTCCAGTACTACTTCTTCAGTGGTGGTGATGGTACTTAATTCCTCCCCCATATTTTTTAGTATTAATTGAGTGTTCAAAGTATCTTCCACTGATACAAAATAGCTGTTTCAGCCCTCTGCCATTTCCTTGTTCTGCATAACCATCTCCCCAGATTCATTTTCTAACAGGCCTATATTCACTTTGACCTCTCTCTTCCTTTTTAGATATTTAATGAAGCTGTTATTGTCAGTTTTTATGTTCCTCACTAGTTTGCCCTTGGAGTTTAATTTCTCTCCCTTTTATTATTTTTTTTTAAGTCTTCCTTTGTTGGATTCTGAATTTATCTCAGTCGTTGGAACTATCATTGATTTTTGCCTCCTTCCATGCTTTTTCTTTTAATTTATTACTCTGCTTAATGTTCTTGGTTAGCCACAATTGGTTTATCCCTCTCTTAAAATATTTCCTCTGTGCCGAGATGTATTTTTGCTGAGAGTCATGAATTATCTCCTTAAAATATCTGCCATTGATTTCTTACAGTCATGTCTGCTAGTCTATCCACCCAGTTCACTTTAGCTAGCTCTATCCTCATTTCTTTTTAACTCCCTTTATTTAAGGTAAGCAGTGTTCTTTTCAACCCGAGCTTCTCACTCTCAAGCTGAGTATTAAATGCTATCATGTTATGATCACTACTTCCTGGGGGATCTTCTACCCAGAGATCATTTATTAGGCCTACATCATTACCCATTACCAGATCCAATATGGCCTGCTCATTGGATGGTTCCGTAACAACTCTTCAACAAGGACATGAGGTTGTAGACACACTGATTCACAACCCTAATTCACCGTTGAGGATTCACTTTTTCAGTGTCTCTCAAGGTGATTATCCCTTTTTCCTACTAAGAAGAGAATATACACAGAGTGGCTAGCTGCTTCCAATGTTCATTTATTTCTCCACCAACAGAAGGGAGAGCAAGAGGAATGCTTTATCTTTCACAGGTTGATTGTTTCTGCATCTTGTCTAAACATGAAGCTGTTGTCCCTTACACAGGAACCAATCAAGAATGTGTTTTGGTGCTGAATACTTCTAAACACACACACACACACACACACACACACACACACATAAACTCTTTCTCCTGGTTAGAAACATCCAATTAACAACTTTTTGACTGGACAACACTGATAATAGACACCTTAGCTCTGTGAGCGTGTGTCCAACATCTTCCCCTACTACTTGAATAAGGCCACCTTGAAAGTACATCAAACCAGGAGCTTCATTAATTCTTTTTGTTTTAAATCCACACCTTCTTCCACAGTTCCTAGGTTTAAAACAGTACCCTTTCTCATTTCAGTCCAGAAACCAGAAAATAAATGCTGGCTTCATAAAATTAAGGTATAAAATCAAGGCAAGAGTAATAGGAGTGTTCGTACTATGGGCAATGAAGGTCAGTGAATGGCAGAAAGGGACAAGAATAGACCAAAGAATAAGAAACGGGCAATTAATAGACATGTATCTAGATACATTTAGCATTCATAAAATGCACAGTTAAGTAAATTAATATGATCTGACAATCATTACAGAGACCAGGATGCATGATGATAAGAATTGAATCCTAAATATTAGAGAGGTATATGACATTCAGGAAGAATAGGAAATTCGGTGAAGGTGTAGCACTGTTAATCATTCATACACTAGCTAGAAATAACCTTAGTTCACGAGATTAGAATGTAGAATTGGTTTGGGTAGAAATGAGCAATTATAAGGAATTGAAATCACTAGTCAGCGTTGTCTGCAGTAACAATAATATAGCATGAAATATATAAGAAGAAAATTTGAGTTTATGTGATAAACAGTGGTCAGGGGGTGGGGGGTATTAATCTACATACCTGGAAAAATCAGATCAGCAATGGCAACTTGGATGAGCAGTTTAGAGCATGCTTTTGTGATAAGAGCAGCATTATTTGGAACCAACCAGGCAGCAGGTTATACTGGATTTGGTGTTATGTAATTTAACTTGTTTAACTAACGATTTCAGAGAAAAGGCACTATAAGGTAGCAGTAACTCCCATATAATTGGGTTTTACATCTTATTTGAAAATGAGAAGAGTGGGTCCTGGACAAGAACTTTGCATTTAAAAAAGAGCAAATGTGTTGTCCTTATCTATATCCTGAATGATAACAGATACCATGATCAATTCAGTCACTGTATATCGTAAAAATTCGTGAAAGGGCCTACATTCTACCACTTTCAGTCCTGAACAGTGACGAGTCTACCTCTGATTACCCTGGAAGGGGAAGTCATTGTAAAACTGTAAAAAACCGGTGAAGCTAGCTGCCTTGCACTGCTGCTATGCAGTTGTTTTGTCCAAGGACAGTTTGCTGTCATCAAACCAAAGAAATGTTGTCTACTACACAATTGTATAATATGAGATCAGAGTTTCAATGCCATTGTGATGTGGACTATATGTTCCATTAACTGGCAAACTATAAGACCATAATACATAGGAGCAGAATTAGGCCACTCAGCCCTTCGAGTCTGCTTTGCCATTCAATCATGTCTGAATGTTACTCAATCCAATTCCCCAGCCTTCGCCTCATAACCTCTGATCTCCTTACAAGAACCTATCTACCTCCGTCTTAAATATGCTCATTGACTTGGCCTCCACAGCCTTCTGTGGCAATGAGTTCTCACATTCACCGTCCTCTGCTAGAAGTTCATCCTCATCTCAATTTGAATGAATCATCCCTACACTCTCAGGCTGTGCCCCAGTTCTAGTCTCTCTGACTTGGGGAACCATCTTCTCCACAACCATTCTATCCATTACTGTTAGTATTTTGTAAGTTTCAATGAGATCTCCCCTCATCCTTCTTAACTGTATGTAGCACTGACCCAGAGTCCTCAACCACTCCTCACATGACACAAGCACTTCAATCCCAGGATCATTTTTGTAAACCTCCTCTGGATACCCTTCAAGGCCAACACATCCTTTCTCAGATACTGAATCGGAAATTGCTCACAATATTCCAAGTGCAGTCTAACCAGAGCCTCATATAGCCTCAGCAGTACATTCCTGCTGTTGTTTTCTAGCCCTCTTGAAATGAATGCCAACATTGCATTTGCCTTCCTAACTGCCAAATGAACTGAACCTGCATGTTAACCTTATGAGAATCCTGAACAAGGATTCTTAAGACCCTTTGTGCTGCTCAGTGGTTATCACTGCTGCCTCACAGCACCAGGGAACCAGGTTCGATTCTACCCTCGGGCAACTGTCTGTGTGGAGTTTGCACATTCTCCCCATGGCTGTGTGGGTTTCCTCCAGATGCTCCGGTTTCCTCCCACAGTCCGAAGTTGTGCAGGTTAGGTGGATTGGCTGTGCTAAATTGCTCGTAGTGTCTAGGGTGGGACATGCAGGCATGGGGTTGGGGTTGGGGTTGGGGTTGGGGATGGGTCTGGGTGGGATGGTCTTCGGACGGGTGGTGTGG